GACTCAGGAAGCTTAAATGGTAGGAGGGTGTGGACAGATGAGGAGCGTGGAAACAAGCAGATAACAGCTGGTGCTAAGTGCTGTGACATAAATCATCAGAGCAGCGTGACAGAGTAGCCGGCAGGGGCTCGCTGGAATCAAGGGGGTCAGAGGATCTCCTCTGAGGAGGAGACACTGACATTGAGCCCAGAGCCCAGACGTAGGAAAGAGCTCAACCTGTTCTTAGAACAGACGGAGGCAAGATTAGGTAAAGCGTAAGAGAGTGAGGAACTGCTGGCTGTAAAGGAGGTAACAGAGAACCACAGAAGGCTGGGCACTCTGGCCTCAGCTTTAAGAAAAGCCTGACATGATGGGCTGTGGCATGTCCTAAACTGACACATACCGTTCCTTACCTCTTTCACTGTTACTAACCTTCCAAGTTCATGTTGCCCTAAACCTATCCCTGAGAGCAGGGACTATGCGGCCTCACGTCTTTCTCGGCCTCACAGTGCCCACCACACCGCTGTATACAAAAAAGACACTTGATATATATATACACACACACATTGTTCATTTGTTCAGATGGTTTAAAGAACCTACATTTAAAAACTTGTCAAAGGAATCATTCCTTTGTAATGTATGCAGTTTTCACTACTACAGTAGCTGAATCATATGGGAAAATAAAACACTTAGAATTAAAAGCTCAGTTGATAGAAATGCTTGTCAACCTATCACTAAAAAGAATTTGGCTGATGGACAAAAACAGATCCAGAGACAGAGAAGCATCGATCAGACCGTCAAACCTCAGAGGGAAGGTAGGGGAGGGTGGGGGTAAGGGAGAGAGATCAACCAGAGAACTTGTATGCATGCATGTAAGCCTAACCAGTGGACACAGACACCAGGGGGGTAAGGGCATGAGTGGAGGAGGGGGACCAATGGGGCAATAAGGACACATATGTAACACCTTAACCAGTGGTTCTCAACCTTCTGGCCCTTCAAATACAGTTCCTCATGTTGTGACCCAACCATAAAATTATTTTCGTTGCTACTTCATAACTGTAATGTTGCTACTGTTATGAATCGTAATGTAAATATCTGATATGCAGGATGGTCTTAGGCGACCCCTGTGAAAGGGTCGTTCGACCGCCAAAGGGGTCTCGACCCACAGGTTGAGAACCGCTGCCTTAATCAATAATGAAAAAATAAATAAAAATTAAAAAAATAATAATTTGGCTGCAGTCTTCCTACCAACATAAAAATAAACAAATTAGCTATCTGCCCAAAGGGAGTCCCTTCTTATTGAGAATGGAAAGGTAGAAGGCAGGGAAAGGCTATAGGTAAGGCCAGCAGCCACCGTCACATGGGCCCCTTCCATGCCTACTCGTCGCCACCTACTGGACAGCCGGAGGACAGACATCTGCGCAGTTTTCCAGGGTCTGAGACTTCAGGGTCAGCTAATTTGTATAAATAATTGTAACTCACACAGGACAATTGAGAAAAAGGCTTCTAAAAGATTTAGAAATAACTAATAAAAGATTTTCTTATCCTAATAGGTTAGGTTAGCATGCCTTGGAGGTTTAAAAATGTGTGCCTATTTGCTTTTGTTTTAAAGAAGAAAAGAGCCCTCGCTGGGTGGCTCAGCTGGTTTGGAGCATTGTCCTGTACACCAAAAGGTTACGGGTCTCATTTCCAGTCAGGGCACATACCTAGGTTGCAGAAAACCAAGAGATGTTTCTCTCTCTTCCTCTCTCTTTAAAGTCAATTAAAAACATATCCTCTGGTGAGGATTAATAAAGGGGAGGGGAGGAGATAAAAAGAGGAGGCACTAGTTGAAAGAAGGTTGAAGATCCTAAAGATATAAGTATTACCATACACTACCACTTCTAGAAAAATACTTAGAATGAACAAAAACTTGACTACATTTTTTATTCAAATACAATTAAAGTAGAACAATCCATCAAAACTACAGAATAATGAAAAAATAAAACCAGAGGGAGCCACCAGAGGCAAGAGGAAAACTGGGAGAGAGCAGTATCCTGGGAAACAAGAGCCAAGACGGTTTCCAGGGGCAAGAGGGCAACAGTGACAAGAGCTGCTAAGTGGTCGAGTCAGGTGGGCCTTGAAGTTCACAGTCATGAAACAAAGCAACATGCAGGCCGCTGGGGAACTCAGTGAGAGTCTCTGCAGATGAGAGTAGTACACTGAAGAGGCAGCAAGAAGGAAGATAATGGAGGTACTTCTCAATTGGAGATCCCTGGGAATATTTAAAAGCCAACGGGCCCTAGAGGGTTTGGCTCAGTGGATAGAGTGTTGGCCTGCAGACTGAAGGGTCCCAGGTTTGATTCTGGTCAAGGGCACATGCCTGGGTTATGGGCTCGATCCCCAGTGTGGGGCTTGCAGGAGGAAGCTGATCAATGATTCTCTCTCATCATTGATGTTTCTATCTCTTTCTCTCTCCCTTCCTCTCTGAAATCAATAAAAATATTTTTTTTTTTAAATTTTAAGCCAATGGGATTAAGACAAATGAGTGAGCCTGGCTGGTGTGGCCCAGTGGTTGAGAGTCAACCCATGAACCAGGAGGTCATGGTTCGATTCCGGGTCAGGGCACATGCCTGGGTTGCGGGCTCAGTCAGAGAAAGATAAATATCACATGATCTCACTCATTTGTGGATGAACAAAAACAGATCTAGAGACAGAGAAGCATCAATCAGATGCTCAAACCTCAAATGGAAGGTAGGGGAGGATGGGGGTAAGGGGGAGAGATCAACCAAAGGACTTGCATGCATGCATATAAGCATAAGCAATGGATACAGACAACAGGGGGTGAGGGTGAGGGCAGGACTGAGGGGGTGGGGGGACAATGGAGGAATAAGGACACAGTATATAAAAAAAAATTTTTAAGCCAATGGGATTAAGACAAATGAGTGGGCCTGGCCAGTGTGGCCCAGTGGTTGAACGTCAACCCATGAACCAGGAGGTCATGGTTCGATTCCGGGTCAGGGCACATGCCTGGGTTGCAGGCTCGATCCTCAGTGGGGGGCATGCAGGAGACAGCCGATCAATGATTCTCGTCACTGATGTTTCTATCTCTCTCCCTCTCCCTTCCTCTCTAAAATCAATAAAAACATATTTTTTAAAAGACACAAATGAGTGAGAGAGACAAACTGGCTGCCGAGAAGGTAGAAGGGGAGGGTGGGAAGGGTGAGAAGGGCTCCATAGCCCTCGTTAATCTGGCTCCACAGGTGCACAACCTGTGCAATCACAGGCAGGGCCCCCTTTCAGAAGGGCACCACCCTTGTTTAACGCTCTGCTGTCACCAACTTCGGATTCCTTAAAATGTTTGAACAAGGGGCTGCCTCAGTTTCATTTTGCACTGAGCCTCACAAATTATGCACCAGTCCAGGGCGGGGGGATGCTGGCCTCAGCACCAGGAAAGACAGCTCAGGTGCCAGGGCAGGAAGAGGGAATGGAGAGGCAGGGTCAGTGCCAACCAATAGCTCCTTTCTCCGTGAAACAGAAAAAGAGTCAACTGCTATGAACGAGCAAGAGGACAGACAAAGGGAGAGAGGTTGAAATTCATTGTAGAGTGAAAAGATCTGGCAGACTCCACCTTAATCAAGGAATCAAGGTTCACATCACCTGTAATAAGACAATTCAGTATCATGAAACTCCTATGATACACTAAAAAGGGCACAAGATCACTTCTGTGCTACTTGCTATTCCTGTCAAAGTACAAAATCTCAATGCAATCGCAGGAAACCCAAACTGAGGAACATGCCTCAAAACAGCAGACCAGTAGTCTTGAAAAGTATCAAGGCCATGAAAGAAAAGGAAAGACAGAGGGATTGTCACAGACTGGAGAAGACTACTTGGATACAATGTGAGATTATCCTGAAACAGAAAAAGGACATTGGGGAAAACTAGTGAAATTTAAATAAGGTTTGTCGTGTAGTTAACAGTATTGTATTAATATTAATTTCAATGTTTTGATCAGTGTACTATGACTATGAAAGACAGCAAAATTCAGGGAATCTGGGTAAAGGGTTTATGAGAACTCTGACTCCTTTTTCAATTTTCTGTCTCAAATTATTTCAGTATAAAAAGTTTAAATTTTCATGTGGATGTTTTGTGATTTCTTTAATGTTATCGGTAATTCCAGGGACCTCAATTATCACCTCTGAAGTCTAGCACTGCTGCATCAGACATGTTCCTGCTTCTCTGTCAAGACAAGAATCAGTAACAAAAGAGAAAGGTGATGTTCCCTGTGAAAATTATAACTTTGAACAGGTCATAGAGCTTTAAGTTTATATAATGCTTCCCCCATCTATTGCATCATTCTGCTTCCCAGCCTCTTAGCAAGGGAGGGAGGCAATAACAGGAATGTCCCTTCAGTTCTCACTCCTCTGCCTGCCCGCTCCTCTGTCTGGAAGGCTATTAAGTGTTTGTGTTAATTAAAGCCTTTAGAAGTGTTGAGCATCTATGAGAGAACCACACGTTACAAAGACGATCAACAGAGCTCCTTTCTCAAGTTTAATTTTAATATTTTGTGAAAGCTTACAGAGTTGGCAGCAAGTCCAGGTCAGATATTGCTTTAGAAACATGAGGTTTTACAAAGAACCTCGGCTGACACATCTGCTTACACCTGGAATAAAACCCACTCCAGGTAGCCATTCTGAATGGGCGAACCTGCCAATCCAGAGCCAAGGGGAGTTGTGCCGCTACTCTGCTGCCACCCAGTGGCATGTGGGTGAAAAAGCACCTCGCCAGAGAACAGAAAGAACAGTTCTCTGTAAAAGGCATTTTCTCTGGATTCCCAAGTCAGCAGGAGGCAGGGCAGAAGTGCGGTCCCTGCCTGCCACAGCACTATGGGGGCAGGTGTGAGCAGATGAGAAGGGATGTATTAAAATAAATTGTGCAATGAAGTGTTGTGTCCACCACAGATTGAGAACTGCTCCAGGGACTAAGTTGAAGCCAAAAGATGTTACAGGCACCCAGGGAACAAATCCCAATGCCAGATTTACCTGCTTTGGGTCGGAGGTAGCAGCGCCAGGAGCTGGAGATTCCAGTTCTATGGTCACAGGCCCATCGTTCTGAATGTGGACTTGCATGTAGGCACCAAACTTGCCATCTGAAAGAGCAATTCAAACAGTTTCAAGAGATGGAGACCCCAGATTACCCATCTATAAAGCACAACTATCTCAGTGTAATCAGAAGCTTGGGGAGCAGGGATGGTCCACTCCACCAGCGGTGAGGTAAATACAAAATAAACAGCAAGGGTACCACCACACACCCTACAGTCTTGGCAAGAATGAAAGGACCTGGTAACATGAAGGGTGGGGGAAATGTGCGTTAAAGGACTGAAAAATGGCAGGAGAGTAAACTGGTATAAGCACTTGGAGGGCATTTTGGTGCTGTACGCAGTAAAGTTCAAGGTGAACGAAGCCTACAACCTTGAATTCTTTGGTGAGACTACTCTAGAAACTCCTAAACAAATGGAAACACTCAAAGGTTCATTTTGGTAGTGTTTATAAAAGAAAGAAGTGGGCCAATCTAACCGTCTCCTCGGTGGGGGAATGAATGCATAAACACTACCTCATTCCTCAATGGAATACTGTAAGGCAGCCACATCTGTCAACATGGCAAATCTCAAAAACATAATGCAATCTTTATAAAGGAACTTGTAAGAAGGATGCATCATTATATCATTTATATGATACTTCTAAACATCAAAACAAGTTACATTATTTATGGATGTATATATCCGTGTGTGTGTGTGTGTGTGTGTGTGTGTGTGTGTGTGTGTGTGTGCGTCCAAAAAACATGGGCAGGAAAGACAAATGCAAACACAGGATAGTAACAGCATTCATATGGAAGAGAAGGTAGAAGGTGGTGGGATTTGAGAGAGAGCTGAAATAAATATGACCAACTGGGTAGTGAGTACACAGGTATCCATTTTCCATATGTTTCATAATTTTTAAACAATTTAAATATAAAGGAAAAGAAAGCTTAGGAGGATCCCTCAAAACAATCTCATAAACATCCCTGTAACTGGCCCACAGGCCCACATAGTGTAAGGTAAAAAGAAGGTCCTGTTCCTTCACTGTGGGGTCAAAAGGACAGTCAACCTACAGACGGCTCCTCAGGGCAGAGAAATGAGGAGACACCTCACTCCTCACAGGATGGGACTGCCCAGAGCTGGGGGCCACCCATCTCCCCCTGCCTCACGTTCCCTCCTTACCCCACTGAGGCAGCAGAATGATCCTGTTTCCAGAAAATGCACTGTCAAACTGGCCACAGGCTGCCCCAAAAAGAGCACCTCTGTGTGTTCTATTCCCAATTTTCTGTTTTAACACCAAAACCAACTCAATTGTGTCTGATTAACCCCCAAAGGCTGACTTACATTTATAAAGAAAACCAAGAATACGCTTTGAGAGATGTTGTCATAGAATAATCAGAACGTCAACTCCATCCATCCAAGGACCTCTGTTAAGCGCTGAGCCTAAACACTGCTGATGATTCTTAGAGTAGGGAACAACCTGTTTTTGACATGTAGGGAGGGTTACTTACATACCACTTCTGATAAATTGAAAATTAAGAAAAAAGTTGGGCCTACAGAGTAAAGTTAGTATGAGTCCTCAGAAACTGAGAACCGCCAAGAACTCTTGCTCCCACCCACCATTACGGAGCAAAGAGAGTGTATGAGATCAAGTCCACATTTAAGAATCACTCACCATTTTTCACTCACAGCAACTGTGCCAGGCCCTGTGCTAGAGATTGAAAACCCAGCTCAAAGGCACAGGCAGCCTGACACTCATGAACCCTGTGGTCTAGTGTGAAGAACAAATGGGCACATCGTGATGGTGACGTAGTACTACACGCAAACCATGAGAGGTTCTGGCCCTGAGACCAGGGAAGGGTCAGAGTCCCTGTCTTGGGGGATAGGAAGGGAATCAGAAAGGCTTCTCAGATGAGCCTATACAGGGTCCAATACTTAAAGTCAACCAAGACTCAGGCTGGAAAATAGAACAGGCCCAGCCCCTAACTCTGAGGCCTTGAGCAAGTTGCTTAGCCTCCCAATGGATCAGTTTCTCGCCTGCATCACAGGGATAGTAACAAGAGGAAATGTCAGTGAGACCATGCATGGAAGAGCTTGGGACTAAGGCTAGGACACGATGTGTGCAAAATCAATGTTTGCCTTTATCATGAAAAGTCATGCTCAAGAGGTTCCATACAACCAGAATGACGCTTCCCCAACTGTGGCCTGCCAGGTGTTCCTTGAATAAAGAATGCCATGGTCATGCCCTAGCTGGTTTGGTTTAGTGGACAGAGCGTCAGCCTGCAGACTTAAGGGTCCCAAGTTCAATTCCGGTCAAGGGCACATGCCTGGGTTGCGAGCTCAATCCCCAGTGGGGGCATGCAGCAGGCAGCCAATCAATGATTCACTCTCATCATTGATGTTTCTATCTCTCCCTCCCTCTCCCTCCCTCTCTCAAATAAAAAATAAATAAATAAATAAATAAATAAATAAATGCAATCGTCATATACTTCTCAAAACCACGCTTGTTGAACTCTTCCTTCTAGGATCACGATGTACAGCAGCATGTGACAGGCTCTTAAGACACCGTAAGTAGAAAAACCTATTTAGTTCCTTTGCTCTGTTAGTTGCCACACTCTCTGGGCAGGGAGCCCTTGTTTCACAGGGAGCATCCTGTACAGTGCCAATGACCCTCTTGGAGAGGCCAAGGGAGAGAAAAGCAGTGAATGGTACACCAGCCCAGGGCAAGTCAGCCTGAAGTCTGGAGTGGCTCTGCTCTCAGGTCCTGGGGTCCCTCAGACACCAGACCTGCCACAGCGTGAGGTGGCCTCTGTGAGCCTCTGCCACCACCACAACCGCAGTCTTCACCTCTGATTCCTCCCCACCTAGTATCACTCCTTGAAACGATCCTTAACCTCATGGAGGGCCTTAGGAAAATAGATATGGCAACTGTTGGCCCCTTCAGAGCACAGACAGAAATACTGAAACTGTATTAAAAGCGCCCATGCTGTTCTGCATTGCTATAGGCAGGATTACTCTAGTTCCTACCTCCTAGCAGGTTAAAATGGCCGCTCAAATCTACAGAGCTTTTGTTTTATCCATGTCAGAGAGCTAAAAAGACATCAGCTGGGAAGGAAACATGTGTTTAATTGCATGCTAAAATTATGGCTACAATTAGTAGCAAATTTCAGCCTCTGCACTCCTCAGGGAAGCTGACGCAGACTCAGGAGGAAAGGAATTATTTCCGACCTTGAATTCCTGTTGCCAGGATATACGGCATATGCTTCACCGTGTTTATCATTCCAAAGCAAGAAATTTATTTTCTTTTCCTGTTTCTCTCCCATTAAGAACAGAGCTATTATCCGAATCTCCATTTGTGCAGACAATAAATCTAAAGACAGGTTTTAAGAGGTCTTAAAATGGTAACATTTTTTCCAGTCCAGATCAAAGAGTAAAGCCCCCAGGAAAAACGATATTGGCCAGGGAAAATAAAAACATTTGTTTAAAATAATCTTAAAAGACATTCATAGCTACAAAACTACCTCTGGGCTCCCATGGTGACATAATCAAGTCGTTCTACAGCTACAAGTCCTGGGGTTGTGTGCAGAGCTGGGGGAGAAGCACATGTCAGACACGTTTGTACCACCTTCCGAGCAGGAGACCCCACTGGAGCCAAACCTGCTGCATCCTGGTTTCCAGCACAGCCGCCCAAGGCCCCAACCCCAAGCCAGGGCACCCCTTTTACTTACAAAGGCTGACGTCCCATCACTTTGAACAATGCTTTGAACAGTGATCACCCTCAGAAGCCCTGCCCTGCCTCTCATGCCCAGTTTGATCTGGGATGATAGGACAGTCATCTTGGGAGGGGTATAGCCAGGACAGTACACGACCATCACTCCTACTACTGTCCATGGTAGTAGACCGGCAAATAAGAGAAGGGGGGTGGGGGGGGACAAAAAGCGCACTGAAAAAGCATGCCATTGGAGAAAAAGTGGGAGGGAAAAGGGCCATGTTCTCGATCTCCAGAGCCTGCCCTGCACGGTTGTGATCAGGTTGGGGCTCACCTATCCTTGGGGATCACACCTGGACACCAGTACTGGACACTGAGCCTCGGGTCAGCCCATCTGAGCACACCCCAAAGGCGGCTCCCTCTGCCACCCAGGCTTCCCCTTTGTTCTACTTTCAACCTATCCAGAGCCTGGGCAGGCGAGAAAACAGTGTTACTAATAGAGACCCCAACATTGGTGTACAGACTGGTAACCAAGAAATCAAGCAAATGTGTGGAACTTGGGGCCTCAAAATAAGCATATGGTGAGGTGAGGGCCATGCAGCTGGAGGAGTTTGGTCTACACACACAGGCCTGCATCATGCCTGGAGCCCTGAAGTCTGACCCTGTCAGGCTGCAGGCACTATGGCAGCTCTGCCCACAAGCACAGAGCTGCCTCAACAGAGGCAGAGTGCTCCTTGAGGGCTGAGCCAATGCAGGGTGCCACCACTGGGGTAAGGAGTCCAAGACAACAGCCAACACAGCTCCGGGGCCTTCGAAGCAGAGGCAAGGGCTCTGGGAATCAGCAGAGACCAGCAGCTCAAGTAATGGCACTAAGTGACTTGGCTGGGAAAATATTCAGTCATTGGATAAAAGGTATACTTTAAGCCCTTTAGACCCCTGACAGCCAAATTTCTCAGAGAGCGAGGGCCAGGCCCAGGTGGGCAGCATTAGAACCACTGTCCAATTCCATCTACAGTCAGGGCCATGGAGGGAACTGGAAAGGTGGTCCCAGGACCCTTGTGGCTTCGTCCCAGGCTCGTCACCCTTATGGGTGGTCTCTGCTTGGCTCTGCAGTGGTCCAGTTCAGTCCACTCAAGGGAGATGCCTCCTCTGGGCTGCAAGCATCTCAGGCATGGGACTCTGTGGCCAGAAGCACCAGGGGATAAGCCGAGGACAGAGAGTGCCTGCTCACAGGAGAGTGAGGGCACCTGTCACCAAATGGGGCCACCTACTTCCCAACCAGAGAGGGAAAATGAACATTAACATGGTAATGAAGCTAAATTCTCATCTGAGCTGAAATTCTGAGCATGGATTGGGTGCATCC